CTGCGGAGCACCAGTGCTCTCCACGGGACAGAAGCCGGGGACCACAGAGCAGAATCCCAGAGCCCCAAACCCTGGTGCTCTCCATGGGGCAGAAGCCCTGAGATCAGGGGTGGAGTTGGGTGATCATGGGGGGCATTGTCTCCCCACCCCAATGCAGTGCCTTAGCCAGAGCCAGGCAGTCCTGGGAACAGCTCTACACCCCACCTCCTTCTCTTCCCCCTGCCCCTGAGGCCCTGCCCCCTGGCAAGGTAGAAGGCAGGAAGCTGGAGCTGGGCACTGTGGGGAGCTGCCACAGAGCGGGCAGGCGCAGGGTTCCCCCATCTGTGGCTGCTGCCAGTGCTCAGGACTGTGCCTGTTCCTCAACTCCCAGCCCCCTTTGACTGCTCATGCAGCCGGTAAGAGCCGCCTGGGCTGGCAGAGCCCTCCGGGAGCAGCGACTGCATAGGAGGCCCAGCACACAAGCCCTAGCTACCCCCCTGCCTGCACCCTGAGCTATCCCCCGCTTGCACACAAGCCCTAGCTACCCTGCTCCCTGAGCTACCCGCCTGCCTGCACACAGCCACTAGCTACACCCTGCCTGCACCCTGAGCTACCCCACTCCCTGCACACAGCCCCTTTGTTCACATGCTAGCCCCATCACTGACCTCCTATGTCCGTACACGCACTTGTGGGAGGCCACAGTTGAGTCCTGAATTCTAGAGGGGCCAGGAGTAGGGGTAGGGGAAAACCGGGCTCTCTAGCAATTTTCTATAACCAGTGGGAGCAAGAGCACTCTGGGACAGGGAAGCTAACGGGCCAAGCTGACCCAGACACGCATGTAAAACCAGATTCTGGACAAGTGGTGAGGTAAATTGGATGGTGGGGTTATTGATGATAAGGTAGGGAGGATTGCTGGAAGAATGGAACGGTAAGGAAGGATTTGGAGGGGGGTGGGTGTTTGGAGGAGGAAAGTTCAGGATGCTGCTCCAGTCTGAGCAGGCAGCATGAGAAGGTCGAAAGCCAAGAGTAAGAGGATGAAGGGAACAGTAAGGCAAAAGATTGGAAAGAACAAATGGAGATGACGTGGTGGGAAATTTGACCAGAGATTGGTGGGGGGGTATGGAGGGGGGCGGGTGGGCAAGTTATGTAGGGCCCTTCTGGATATGCAGCTATCAGCTGGAAGACTGTAGATTGACTTCTGCAGGGATCAATGTTAAAATGTTGCTTTATTTCTGTAGTTTTTTTTTTAAGGCAAAGCAAAGCCTAATGCTCACAGCTAGTGTGGTGACTAGCTGGATGTGCATTTAGCATGTCTGGATACATTTTTTTCATTGTTTTCTTATGTTTCCCTCAGCGTGTGCATGCCAGGCATTGAGCAATGTGTTCTACCAGGGGTTTATAATAGTGACATGTTTCATTTTCCACTGATGACTTCATAAAGCTATGGACCCTTGGAGCTCCTCAGCAAGACCTGTAGCTTGGGTGTGTGCAGTGTGCCACTTGCCATGTTTACTACGCAAACAAGCAAGATGTAGCCTGGTTGAAATGGGGGCAGAAGCATTGCTGCTCACCAAGGATTTCATGCTTCTTGTCTCATCAGAGCAAAGGAACACAAGAGGCCACCTTCAGGTGGGTGTGGCAGTTGCCTCATGGTGGCCTGTGCTTAGACATCAGCCCTGTAAAGAGGGGGTGTAACAAAGACTCCACACAGGCCTGGGCATCCAGTGAGTTATATATCCAGAGTCAGAGACATCCCAGAGGCCTGGTTTTAGAGCTAATGGGCTGCTGATACCTTCTCACCATCTCCTTTTCGTTTCTACCAGAACTTAAGAGGTGCAGGAATGATGCAAAGCAGCCAAACAGGAAAATGAATGCTTGCTCTTCATTCCATTCTCTGGGGAGAATGTCTCCATTCCCACCTGTAATGTCTGCGAGAAGCTCAGGCAACAGGTCGAAAACAGAAGAAAACTCCTGGGTGGAATGGAGACAGGTGAAAGTGTTCCTGGCAAAGTGCCTTCTGGTCTGCTGACAAGGGTTCCTGTGTTTCACCCAGATGACGCAGAATCTACTCTCTGTATAGGAATAAACCGTCTGAAATTGCCAGCCACCCCCAAATTCTGCCAGTGCTTCTGTTGTGGATCTGCAGCGCCCTTTGGGGTTGGAATACAGTCCTCTCCTAAACAGAGATTATCATGCTATGATTTTCATGTTACAAACCATGGCCACTAGAAGCCTTGAAGAGGCCTGATTTTTAGAAAGTGTTGAGCACCTGCACTCTGAAAGTAAAATGTCTTTAAAATATCTAAAGTCGATCCCCTCAAAACCGAGGCACCTGCAGTCGTGATTCACCTTTTGAAAATCATGGCCTCAAATCTTCCTTCATGTGTAACTTCAATTCACAACTAAATCCCCATCTCCAAAAGTGGCCAGTCTAGTTCATCATACTCAGTCATCCATGTCTTCTGCCTTTTATCCCAGCCATATGATTTTAAACAACACATAGCTCTTGTAATTTGCTATTACTTATATCCATCCATATTCCCAAGGTATGGCCCGGTTGAACAACATGGAATGGAAGCCAGGACTAGCAGTCAGGAAATCTTGATGCTCCTTCTGGCTTCTCCAACAACTCAACTGTGAAATCTTGGGCAAATAATTTAGGCCCAGATCCTCAAAAGGTATTTAGGCTCCTAACTAAATCAGTGGAAATTAGGAGCCTAATTAGGAGCCTAAATACCTTTTGAGGATCTGGGTCTTGCTTTCACATTTCTAATTTGCACAAATGAAGATAGGATTTCCCTGCCTAACAGGGGTCTTATGAGGCTTAAGTCATTAATGTATGTCATGTGCCGTGAGAACCTAGGATGAAAGGTGACTTAGAAGTGCCTGAGTCTCTAATATTTAGGGATATTTTCTCTGCAGTATCTGTGCCTTGACATCTCCACTCCGAACCCCCTCTCTCTAGATGGGAAAGTAGAAGATGATCAAGTTGGAAAGCAATGCAAATGGGAATCTTCTATTTAGTTTAATCAAAATGTTAAATTGTGGAAATTAATTGAAAAATCTCTCAAGGTAGATTTGATGGGAGATTGAGTTAGCGCAGACCCCTGGTCTGCTATAGGTGGGTGGCGTTCTTTAGATGACAGTGCTGAGGTTGTGCATGTGTCTGGGTTTGTGTTAATCAGATTCTGGACTTCATAATTTCCCAAATTAAATTCCTCACTTTATTCAATTAGCATTTTAAACATTATTTGCATTGCTTCCATCTCTGATGATGCAGAATATTACATGCATCTTTAGCTGACGTCACTGTCAAAAGGTATGTGGGGAACAGAGAATAGGGAAGCATTATGGCTGCTTGGAGAGTTCTCAGATCATGATGGCAAAATGTAAACAAGGGAATTCTGGAAAAATGATTCCTGTTCCTAGAGCTGCTCAAGTATGTGAGATAATAGCAACCAAGATTGACTGGCCCAGAAGAAAATGGTTATGCTACCACTGCAGCTAATGGCTATTCCCCTCTAGCACGTTAAATGGCCCTACAATTTTCTTTCATGAAAAGAGTTTAACTTCTGTAGAAAATATTGACTTTGTTTTCACTATTAAAATACCTAAAAACCAAATACTTTTTTGATGCAGAAATGCTGCCATGGTGTCTCATGGTATCATTCTTCTCTATGGGGCATTTTCCCCTGCTGGACTACATCCCTCATGCAGTGTCTTTGCCAGGAGCTCCCATAATTCACCATGGTGGCTCAGCAAGAGGAGAAACTTTAATGCATCATGAGAAATATAGGATAGTCTCTCTGGCTAGACTATAGAGGAGAATGGGGGCATAAGGCACCATGATGGCATTTCCTAATTGAAATGTTCAGTTCTCAGCTAGAAGTTTTTGCTGTTCCCCAGACCCCTCCCCTCCCCCAACGTCCCAAGAAGTCAAATTTCTGTGGAAAACTTTGAAGAAAATTAAACTTTTCCAATGTTTTGAATTTTCCCATGGGGGGGGGGGTGGGGGAGTGCAGAATTCTGACCAGCTTTACTGCTAAGCTAGTGACCTCACAGAGAGGCACGAACCTTCACGTCAGCCCAACAAGGGAGAGGTGAGGAGCTAGTGACATTACATAAGTTTTGAGGGATGAATCGCAGCCTGTTACTGTACTTTGTATGGGACAAACCTTCTGTACAGTAGTAAGGCAATCAGGAGTATGGGGACAAAATAAAATCTTCCTTCATGGATTAAATTCCATATAGATGTAGGAGCTCAGGATTTGGCCCTTGTCCACAGTCTAATCGCTATCTCCATGCATTTTTCTTCCTGAGTTGTCTCCTGCACTGGGGGAGAAGCAGGGTTTCCACTCTTTGTGGGACAGTGTGTGGAGCTGGCCTACACGTCCTGTGGATCCCAGGCAGTGGGATACTTGGCCTGTCTGTATGGAAGCTGTGTGCCATTGGTGCTTCCTTACTCCCAGCTTCCCGGTACCCGAGGACATGCTGACACAGGGCTCATGCAGTCAGTGGTTGCCCTTGGTGCTCCTCTTAAAGGGAAGTTGTGGTAGTTGGTGTTCAACGATAATACAGATGAGCTAGCGTTTTTCCATGAAAAAAATCTGGGGGGTAGTGAGGAGACAATGTGAGTCCCTCTGTTCCCTTCTCAGGTCCTTGGCTGTCAGGGAAAAGTCCTTGGGACAGCTAGAAAATGAGGCTGTGGAGATGGCCAAGTCCCCTTCCCATGGAAGAGGGGTGCGATCTTTGTGCAGGCCTCTAGGGAATGATTAGGCCCTCTGTTACTCATCTCTTTCTCAGGTAAAGATCCCATGGAGTTACGTGAGTTTTGCCTGAGCAAAGACTGAATAAGGATGTCAGGCTTTGGGTCATAATCATTTTAAAGTGAGAGCATGGAGTACGGCTGGTGGGATTCTGTTGATCCCCTTTCAAATAGGAGACAGGAAATGCTACCAACTGTTTCCATCTCTTCCCCCCCCCCCCAACCATTAAAGAATGAGGCACAAAGAAGCAGCCAGTAATATTTTGACTGTATTTCAAAGTTGCTGATTGTAAACAAACTTTGTTGAAGAAATAAAATCACATGACAAGATTTCAGAGTGAGACTATAAATCCAATTTGTTGTTGTTGCCACACTTCACATTTTGGACCTCAGAATTTAGCTCATGGTGTACAAAATTTGTAAAAACTTATTGCAAGCGTGCCTTTGTGTAGAACAAAAACCATTGTCACAAAAACAGTTTCCTGCCACACTGAGAAATGCAGCTGTGGGCCTTACCATGCATAGGGACCACACACACGTTGTCTGAAAGATGTGTCTATTATAAAATTGCTCTGAGAAGTTTCAAACCAAAGAGAACAAACCACGCTGTATGTTTAATCAACGGTCTTTACAGTTTCAATAGAACTCTAGTTTTGGGAGAAAATGGAAGTTTGCAACTAAAATGCAATCGTTTGTGAGCACAGCCTGACAACAGTGGTGTACCAACTGCACTTACAGAACTATGGACTATCCTTGTGTTTCTGTACAGTCACTTCATTTGATGGAATGTAAGTTGCACAGGTTAAAAAAACATACCAATAAGGAATTATAGCTTGAAGGACTCCCTTGAAGAATCTCTATTGTTCCCATTACTACAATGTTGTTGTTCTTAATTCTCATCTTCAAACTATCCTAAGAGACTCAGTGGTGTTGTGACTCTGAGACCTATAACCGCTCAGCCTTTCTAGTCCAAACAGAGGCATAGAGTGCCACCCCCGATGGCGTCATTGTAGCTAGAGCAGCTGGATGCCTGGCTGTGTCAAAGAGATGAATCCCTGGCTTTTCTATTTAAATATGGGAGTGATAATGGGGTTGGGAAAGGGTCACAATATAAAACAGAAGGGCAGGTCGTAGAGCTGAACAGCTGGGATCTCTCTGCCCTCCCAGCCTCTAATCCTTTCATCTGATCTCTTCCCAATGCAGCAATGGGCTGCTGTATTACTTTTCACATCATTCTTTCTGGATTCTATTGATGATTTCCCTATAGGGGGAGCTAGATCCATCCCAGGTGTGACTCCATTGTTGACATCAGTAGCCCTACAGCAGGCGATGAGTTGAGCCTAACGCTTTTAGTGTGCCCTTTTTTTTTTTCTTTAATAGTCAACATTTCTTCTCACTCTACTAATGTATTTTTATCTCTGTATTCCCCTACCAGATTCAAAGTTAGTTGGTAAATTGGAGAGTATGACCCAAGAAAACTAAACCAAGTTGTAAAATTAATTCCAACTGAATAATCAAGTCACGTGCAACTTGTTGACCATCAAATAAGTAACGTCCCTCAGTGTTGTGGTAAGGTGTGAGCTGCTCTTTAATCACTTTTTGCACATACTTGGACACAGATTAATTGGAGGACAACACCACAAAGTTACTTTGACAGCAAGTGGGTTGGGATTTGGGATAGATGACCCCAGTGTGACTGTCTTGACTCCAAGACAAGTCAAGCTCCAACTTGACTGTCTCGAGGCTTTTTGTTCTTTGCCCTTTGAGACCTGTGAATACAGGACAAAATGATCTGCATAAAACTGTTTGTTCAGGAGGAGTCTGAACACTCTCACATGTGGAGATAGATGCAGCAGAAATGTTGAACCTCTGAGCCTCTTGGAATACTCTCTGTTCTTCATCTGCCCATGGCCTCACACTGGCCTCGTCTGTCCCCCTGTCCTTGTAGGACTGAGAGTGGCTCCTTCTAGAGCAGGGCCAGGACATGACACGGGTTTGAGTGTCACTAGGCACCCTTCCACCACTTGCTAATCCAGGAAGCTTGGAACCCCAACACTGATCTCTCGGTTCCTTGTTCCCTCCACCAGTTACCATGTCCTCCTTTAGACCAGCAGGCTCCAGGAGTTAGATTTCTTACGTCTACAATCAGGTTGTCCATCCCAATCCCATACTTTTTAACAAAGGGCCGTGTTCGCAGTAACACTAAATGACTAATTCTGCAGAGTGATGTTTACATTGTGACATTTTGACACTACACGTTGTATGAACCACCTTGACATCTAATACGAGTAGTTATATATTACCTTTTTGATCTTGTTACGATAGTTTCAGTAGAGCTGCTGAGGACTACATGGGCATACAACAGACTATGTCAAGGTCCCATCTGGCAGCAGTCACATTTATGGGAAATACTGCTGCCTCAAAAAGTGCATTGGTGGATGTGATCCCTCTGATCTCTCTCTTGTCTTGGGAAGCACTGTTGGGGCTAGGCATGCAGTACCTTCCCAGTGACTGTGGTAAGTACGGTCTTTGCCAATTTTTTTAAAAAGATCAAAGTAAAACAGGATATCATTTGCAAAGTAATATAATAAAAACATAGATGGTCAACTCTGTCTGACCTCTCATCTTCCAGAATTAACTACTGCTCTAGAGAGGTGTATATCAAGAACTAGTAGGATGATTTAATGAGATCCAAGGGCATATAACGGCTGAAATGAAGAAAAGTCTCTTTATTTTCTTATAAGGAAAAGCTTCCTAACGGGTGCTCTGTTAGCACACAGACCAGTTTCCCAAGCAACAAGGAGGAAACCCTAATGACTGGAACATTTTAAAATTAGATCAGCTAAAGTGCACCAATTCTACACTGTTCCCCAAGGAATAGATGATCTAACAGGGCCTTTCCATCTCTAGGTTTTAATGATCCCATGAACAAAAAACAGGGGGGGCTAAGGGTAGCCTTACATCCTAACCTGGACAAGGAGAAATGTAGTAAGGAGAACTGTAAATAGGATTACATCTGAGCAGATGATAGACTGATATTTGCAAAGATCCCTATTCAAAGGCAGGCCAAATATATACATATTTTAAACTACAACAAAGCTGCTTTGCTCTGTAAATGTTGTTGGCTCTTTGGAGCTCAGACTTAGATGAGCTCTTGGCTCCATGGGAATTCCATAGCAGAGAAGGATGGGAGATTTATTTAACCTAGACTTTTATTTTTTACTAGAGATAATTGTTAATAACAGTTTCTATTATTGGCTGGGTTGCACTACATTGTACATTGTTCACTGGATTACAGACCTCTCTTTCTATCCATGCTCTGGGCTCCCCCAGTCAAGTCAGCAGGTTTCCTCCAAAGTTCATTGAATTCAATGGGAATCTTTCCAGTGACTGCAGTGGGCTTTGGCTGAGGCTCACAATGCATTGTGAGAAATGAAATGAGTAAGGTGACTGAGTCATGTGGTCTTTACTCCAGAGGGGAAGGCCGGTTTTGTTAAGTTCCTTTCATTTATTTTTCTAGTTTAGAAAAATACATCTAGTTTGACCTCTGGGCCTATGAATAAAAACTATAAATCTCTTTAAAAATCACATGCAGTCCTAAGGACTGGGAGTTGGGAGAATCACCTCCACTTCCCAGCATTACCACAGACTTTCTCGTGTGACCGTGGGTAAATCACTTACCCTCTCTGTGTCTGTTTTCCCCATTTATAAATGGGGGGTGTTGATACTTCCTGCCCCCTTCACAGGGGTTCAGTGAGGGCTAATTAATGTTCATATTCTAAAGTACTTCAAGATCCTTAGATGGAAGGCATTACAGAAGTGCAAAATGTAATTACAGTGCAATATATTCCCGAAACCACCACTAAAATCAGCTCCTGACGTGACCCATATCTAAAGGAAGCATAGAATTGCCCTAAGAGAGGCCTCATTACCTGCCAACTCAAGAAAGCACCCATTAGGTAGCTGTTAGAAGAACAAACCTCTGTCCTAAAAGGAGCAAAGTAAGGGTTGCTGGAGGTCAGGAATGAAAATGCTGGTTTTGAGTCAGTGCCTTTGTGTAACCGTGGAAACAGAGAAATGTCTTTCTGTCCTTTGTGAGATGTATAAGAAACTAAAAATGATATCACTGAATCAATTATTTAGTGACACTGAGAAATCTGGGTTCTTAAAATATCTGTTAATGAAAAAGAGAGAGAGACCGGGATTAAGAGAGATGCTTAGACAGAACGTAGCCAGAACCACTGAGCAAAAAAGAAAACGGGAGAGATGTCTTTAAATCTTTCCTTTTCTTTTCAAGTGCACAAATGGGCTGAGATAAAAAGCAATCGGGTCAGAGTTCCAGTGAGCCCTTACAATACTTTTCCACGGTGGCGCAAGCTATAATACAACACTATTTGACACTGGCTTTTAGCTTCAGTGAACATTATATAAATGTTGCACACTGCAATGAGCCTTTTTTCAAATACTTGACTTGACAGGACATGAAAACTCCTTGGAAGAGGTGCTTTGCATAGAATGTTGTCTGCATATCCCACTGTCTGACTTTAATTCTTTGAAGCAGTCTGCATACGGCGGTGAACAAAGAATTTCCAATGCTAGGAACTGCACACTGAATGGAAAACAAATTTAACAGAAGAGGGACAACTTTTCCTCCCCTGATTTGCTCCACTTTCAATGTCCCCTTCTGAGAGGTAGAGAGAAGCTGATCTCAGGTAGTTTGCATTTCCCTCAGTTTTTAATTAATGCTGAGCTTTAAGGTCTTTACCCAGAATGGCTTGAGGATACTTAACCTACCCAATCTCATGGTACAAGCCATCACACAAACCATGTTTACACAATGTCATTGGCATCCCATGCTCATACAAGGTCGTCAACAGTGTTCTTGCAATACTCTGACGCTTAGCCCTTTCCTTTTATTGATTTCTGAAACTAAGGAACAGCCATGTATTTCTGTGGTCGGGTGTGGGAAATTGCAAAATCTAATATACGGCAAGACTATGAGGTCTGAACTGCTGTGGACACTAAATTGTTTTAACCAAGAAAAGGTTTTTGTAATATTTAAAGAGAAACTGTGAGATGCTTTTTAACAACAACAAAACAAAACCCCACAATATTCCCCATCCTTCCTCCTGCCAGATAAATATAATGGGAAAGATACTGTGGATCACAGTCATTTTATTGGCATAGGCTAAGTTTTACTTTGGTGAATTTTGCTTGTAGGCTGTGAAACCTAGCTTTTAGTCATTTTATACAGGGTTGGGTGGGGGTATTTTGTTTGGGTTTTTTTTGGCTTATTCTTTTATTGAACATCTAGGCATCTTAAGGAAGCCAGTTCAAGGTCATGGGAGATGCTTAGGGGAGGGAGTGGGGGACTGAAACTCATTGCAAAGCAATACTTTGCTTCTGTCTGTTTCCCTCCTTTATGCAGGAGGGGAAAAATATAATTCCCTATAATAATCAGCTAGCCACTGTGTAATCGGTCCGTCAACACCAAATCAAGGGAGAACTACTCAGGAGCCAATCCCTGAGGTAAAACTAGTACCTGGTAAAATTTTAGCTCATGCAATCTGTATCGTGAGCAGAACAAGCCTGTGGAAAACTATTTTCCAACTATTTATTTATTTTAAAAGGCAGTTTCTGTAGTAGATGGGCCTGATCCACTGAAGTCACTGGAAAGACTGATGGTTTTGCATCAGACCCTGTGTTAGGCCCAAGCTCTGAGAGAATAGATGTAACGCATCTAGTTGGTCTGGAGCTTACTACTATAAAGTGCTGAGGACCTCCTGTGAGGTGCGGAAAGCCCTTAGCTACCACTGATATCAGTGAGAGTTGGGAAGCTCAGATCCTTATGGGAGATATTCAGCATGTTGCAGATGACGCTAAACTGGGAGGAGAGGTAGATACGCTGGAGGGTAGGGATAGGATACAGAGGGCCCTAGACAAATTAGAGGATTGGGCCAAAAGAAATCTGATGAGGTTCAACAAGGACAAGTGCGGAGTCCTGCAATTAGAACGGAAGAATCCCATGCACCGCTACAGACTAGGGACCAAATGGCTCGGCAGCAGTTCTGCAGAAAAGGACCGAGGGGTTACAGTGGATGAGAAGCTGGATATGAGTCAACAGTGTGTCCTTGTTGCCAAGAAGGCCAATGGCATTTTGGGATGTATATGTAGGGGCATTGCAAGCAGATTGAGGGACATGATCATTCCCCTCCATTCGACATTGGTGAGGCCTCATCTGGAGTACTGTGTCCAGTTTTGGGCCCCACACTACAAGAAGGATGTGGAAAAATTGGAAAACGTCCAGCAAAGGGCAACAAAAATGATAAGGGGACTGGAACACATGACTTATGAGGAGAGGCTGAGGGAACTGGGATTGTTTAGTCTGCGGAAGAGAAGAATGAGGGGGGATTTGATAGCTGCTTTCAACTACCTGAAAGGGGATTCCAAAGAGGATGGCTCTAGACTGTTCTCAGTGGTAGCAGATGACAGAACGAGGAGTAATGGTCTCAAGTTGCAGTGGGGGAGGTTTAGGTTGGATATTAGGAAAATCTTTTTCACTAGGAGGGTGGTGAAACACTGGAATGCGTTACCTAGGGAGGTGGAGGAATCTCCTTCCTTAGAAGTCTTTAAGGTCAGGCTTGACAAAGCCCTGGCTGGGATGATTTAGTTGGGGATTGGTCTCTTTGAGCAGGGGATTGGACTAGATGACCTCCTGAGGTCCCTTCCAACACTGATATTCTATGTTGGAGGATTGAGCCCATCCTTTCTCAGCAATGTTCTTACACTGCAGACAAAGGAAGGAAGGTTGCTCTGATCAGACGGTTGCTATGGGGAAGCTGTCTGTTTATGAAAGTTCCAACCAGATCTCATCCCCATGTTCTTTCCTTGGTAATTCTAGCTATGTAACTAGCACCAACTCTTCAGAATAAATTTTGGCAAAATTTTGACGTTACAGGGCACAATGAGCATGTCAACTACTCTTTACATGATCGTTTAGCCAACCATGTTTGAAAAATGTTGGCCTAAAGTCAGGCATCACGATGAGGGGCTGGATTTTCAGAGGTTGAGAGTGGTGGGTTCTGAGCATTTCTGAAAATTTATTTCTGTGCTGTGCTTTAGGCAGCCTATTTGAATATTTTGGTCTTTGAGATAGGTGGTATTTATTAGCACTCTATCAATCTATTTCTGCCAACTACGGCGTAGTATTAGGTAAACAGACTACCTCAATTTCTATGGGGCTAAGCCTGGTTTCCCTGCAAACAAAACAGGTCTTGAAATCTCTTTGGGGGTCTACAACCAACAGTACCACATGATGGTGCTCTGATGTGATAACACTAGAAAGCAAATTCATGCTGTGACACACAGATGTTTTTGCTGCTATGTGATGAAACTGTTAAAACCACTGCACTTTGAAAGGCCATATGTAAAGCCAATGTTGTAATGTAAATGTAGGGTTGTGCTGACAATGAGTAGGGAATAAAGTGGCACCACTGGGCATGGCCTGTCATATCACAAAACTCTTACTACTGTTAGATTGAAATACAGTGCCAGCCTGGATCAGACCCAAGGTCCATTTAGTCCAGTAGCCTGTCCCTGGTAGTAGACAATACCAGATGTCTCAGAGCAAAGTGTAAGAATCCCATAGTAAGAAAACATGGGATAATCTAATTTCCATTAAGATTTCATCCTAATCCTTAATTAGAGATTGGTGTAAAGCCTGAGCATGCGGTTCTATATCCCTTCCAATACTCTTTTTTGTTTGCATTAACTTTTCTACCTCTATATCGTTGTCTTATCCCTGAGCGTCCAATTGCTCCTTTGTTCCATTTTATTACACAGAAAATGCATTGTCTTGTGTTATGATGTCCCTATACAACACAGGAACTAACTGGTCCAGTGTGGCTCTAGGCCTGATAATGGAGAGGAATGTTCTGCTAAAAACTTTTGGATGCAGGTGACTCTCCATGTGCAGATCTTCCTCCTACACAGAACTGGGCATTTGTCTGTCTTCCCAGAGGGCTGAGACTGGATTTAGAGACCCTTCTGAACTAATGAAGACCTCTCTGGTCAAGTAAAGTTTGTGTGAAACCCCCCCCGCCCCCGCCCAAAATCCAAATTTTGGAACAACTACTTGTGCCCCATAAAAAACGAGCAATGACTAGCATGTAAAACTCCCATCAAAGTCAGAGAGCTTTTCTATTGCCTTCAGTGGGAGTTGGCCCAAACCATCCATAAAGAGAAGTTGCATATTATCTGTACCCTATAAATTAGTGCATTCCCATATGTTCTACCATACTAAAGTTTTAACTGTAGTATGTCTCCTAGTTTACTGGGTTGTGGATTTAATCAATCAATAATAAGATGATGAAGGAAGAGCAGTATTTTACTCCAGTGCTGGGGTTTTGCCTCCTGCTATCAGATCTCTCTCTCCTTTCGCTTTCCCCACTGAAGCGTCCTGGTGGCAGCGAACCCAGTATTGTGTTGAAAACATTCAGCCAAGCAGTCTTGTCAATACTAGGCATTGGCACCAGGCTGCACTAATTCTTAACGGTTCTAGCTTCCAGAGAGTCCCTCAGAACAAGGAAAGCATTTGGGTTTTGTTCTGCTTCAGTGAGGTCAATGTCTGGTTGCACCTGAACTGTTTTTTACAATGACACACTATTTTTCTAAACATATAATTTGCAAAACTACAGCTACTGTGACGCATCTCAAATTCTAAGAAGGATTCCTACAGAACACCCAACCGTGAAAACACAAAACGCACTGCTATTGGTGAACAATTTTTTCTTGCCAAAGGTGTGTTAATAGGAAATGAAGATCTAAGATGAAAAATATGTCTTGATATTTAAAAAAAAAAGGGGGGGGGGAATGAAAAATATCCATAGAAATTTAAGTAAAACAGTCCATTAAGGTAGATCTTAAGCAACACTTAGAAGAACCTGAAGCTACAACTGAAATCAAGGAAAATCTAGTTGTTTTAGTTGTTACACTCTGAGATGTCTCACCCTGCACGCAATATGGAAGCTATGGTGGCAGGCAGTATGATCATTTATTTGTTAAACTTTATGTATCAATTCAGCTTTCCCCATGATTCTTAAAATTTCACTCAGACTTTTTTTTTAAAAAGTTTGCCAATATGATTAATTTTCCCCTAAACTTTTTATTCCTATACTGCAATTTGATTGCCTTAACACTTATTTAAAAAAAAAAAAAAAGCTCTTAATTGTTACTCAGTCTTGGTTGTCTTTGCTTGTTACAGGTCAATCTGTCAATATGTGTGTGAAGAACATATAAATCTGTTTCTCTTTAACCATGTCATGATTCCTTACAAGGTGTCAGACACTGTCATCCATGACACATTGCTTGTCCCAGAGTTAAAGAACTCCAGACAGGGCAGAGTTTTTGTAATGCCCACCTAGGACCACTGAGCTACATCCCTTTGTGGCAAGCTCGTGGTGAGCCCTATGGAAGCCTTACGAGATGACCGTGTTCAACAGATATGGCAGACAAATGGCTACTAACTTAAATCTTTTTGGATGGACAGGTACTCGCAGAGCATTCACAGATGCAGTTGTGTGTTGACTTTTCCTGTGCCTCTCTCTGTAGGACACTCAACAGCCAGCTGCTACTTTTAACAACGTCTCTACCCCTCTACTGGCATCACTGTCATTTTCCTACAGGGAGCAGCATTGGTGATGTCATGACATTCCCTGCTTTGACATTCCAGAGCTGTGGTCTCCTCTTCTGCTCCCCCTCCACCCCAGTCCTAAGCCACAAGGAATAATGCATCAATGAGAAGGTGAGGTGTCCTCCAAGCCCAGCAGCTCCTTTATAAGTCTCTCACCAAACTGTGCCCGGCTGTACCTTTTCACGTGATAGGCATCTGACATTTTGTACAGGATGTAGGCATTGTTTATGGCAATGCTGATGGTAAACCAGAATACTTGTTGCCAGGTCTTGTTTGGTTTATGAGAAATGAAATACCTATGAAAGGGGGAGAGAGAGAAAAGATAATCAACATTCAAACCCTTCTACGTGTGTCCTGCTGGGAGGCAAGAAAAGTGACCTCAGACATTCTGCAGGCCCAGGAGCTCTCATTGGGACGCTATGCCAGCTGTTCATTGTTACTGTCTTAAGGGACATGTTCAACAATATGTTTGATAACTCTTTGTTGTAGTAGTTATGAGAGAGTCTCTAGTCTCCCTTTTTGGTGCAATGTTCGGTTGTCTGTCTTGCATTTTTCTGCCCTCATCAGAAAGTCCTACTCCAAGGTTGCCGATAGATCACATCATCAGGGCGAAAAGGATGGAAAAGCCCTGTTTTGGTCACCTAGCAGTGCAGGATTGGTCACTGCAGTACCTTCAGTCTCCATCCAGTTTTCAGTGTGTCAAGTGGTGGAGCTTCCACCACTTCCCTTGGCAACCTATGCTGTAGCCAAATATTTCTCACTTGCAGGAAACTTTTCCTGAGATTTAGCCTAAATTTTCCCTCAGTTAACTTCATACCATCAATCCTACTTCATTCCCTCGTACCACCCCAAATACTCATACACTGATGTTCACATCCTTCCCATGCTTGTAGACTTGTGATTCCCACCCCATTATTCATTGGCTTGCCAATTTGTATTAACGAATCCGGTTAATCCCTCTGTCCCAATGATTTCTCTTCTCTAAACTTCCTCCAGTTGCTCAATATCTTTCTGGCAATGAGATGCCCAAAATGGAGTCCACTATTGCAGTAATATACAATATGGCAATATAATAGTTTGCCCCTCTCTCCCAAACAAGTTCCCCAAATAGTGCTCAGCAGGCAGCTCTTCCCCTTACAGTACTCCACAATGAGGCATTTGGTCTAGATCCTCAAAGATATTTGGGTGCCAAACTCCCACTGAAATCAGTGGGAGTTAAGCACCTCAGTACGTGCTGTACTAACTCCCCGAGAAAGTGGGTAATGCTCTAAGAGCCGTGTTCTGGTTACAGTTTTCAAAACTGCTTCAGGTTCAGCACCAAATCACAACCAGGTCCACCAGCTAAAACAGCAAAAGCCAAAGGTCCAGATTTGCTGTACAGCACCAGCTGCTGTGAGTCTGGGGAAAGCTTATGGCTTAGTAAGCATTCTTTTCTTTGTTGAACCAAACCATGATGCAATTTGAATTTATCCAGAACCCATTTCCTTTGTTTTAAAAATGGCACATTTTACTGACTTCCTGTCTGAGAATCTGCATGTGTATTTGGAAGCAACAGACCTTAGGGATGGGGGAGGGCCCAGTTAGTCACCTTGCACATTGTCGTCTTTGTGCAGAACTGTTTCCTTAGCCCTTATATTACTGAGACCTAATGCTAGGCTGGCGGTTGTATACAGGGATTAGGGGTGAGCTCCACAAAGGGACTTGGGTATTGCAACATTGAACACTATGGCATCTAACTTCTGGGCACCTAGAAAATCAGTGGAACAACCCTGTGATCTGCAAAACTGAGTTAAGCGCCTAGGCTCCCTATAAAAGGAATGGGGAAAGACCGGTGCCTAAGTATGTGATCCACAAAGCCAGCATGCTAGGTGGGGAATAGCCTAAGCTAGCCATTGGGAGATGCGTGCTAAGGGGTGTGTGCTAAGCCTCAGGCAGAGGAGGGAATTGAATGTGGGGGTCTGATCTCCCAGGGGCATATTCTAACTCCTGAACTAAAAGTTACAAGCTCACCGCCTCTTTCTTTGGCTGGATTTTGAATGGGACCCAATCCAATCGTGCTCAGAGGCTACCTATCCGATCAGATCTCTCACATGACTTAGATGGCTGAACACTTGTCTTTCCCTGGTTTGTGATTTACTCTAGGGCTTAGGCAGATGCCTAGAGGGAGGTACCGGCCTGCATGCCCAGAGGCAGAAACTTAGGCGCCAATTGAGTTTAGGCATCTACAAGGTTCAGTGGAAGTTTTGTGGATGGCAGTGGACCCAAGACTGGGACTTAGCCAGCTCAACCTGCGACTTAAGCACCTAATGCCTTTCATGGATCCCAACCCATGTATAGATGTAATAAAATATAGCTCATAAAATGGCTGCCATAACTGTGCTTCACTGAATGCTATCTGCCAAAATACACCTGTGATCCAGTGTACGACCAGAAAGGAAATACACGGAAATGTCTATTTAGGGTCATCATCCAAGCTGAGCAAAAAGCACTAACCAAACCGCCTAAATCGTGAAAAGTTTATTTTTAAAGAAGTCTCACGTAGTCATTCAGCCTTAGCAAAATGGTCATGTAAATTTGCCAAGTGAGGCACAAAACCTACTCACATATTCTTGCCATTAGGATTATCGGGGCAAAAAAAATTTTGCGAACCCACAGGAAGACAGCTACTTGTCCATGGCAAGAAAGCTTGTGTACAGCTGATTAAGGTGCTCTTAGTAGCACAGGTAAGGAACAGGGTTTTTTAATGGCCTTTTAGGCAAATAATATCCCTTAAAAATCAAGGATACAAAAACAACCCCAGATAGGCAAGGAGGAAATTAAGAATCTGTGAAAGGACCTGCCCAGCTCCAGGGAAAGTGCAGAGGCTGCTAATTATGGAGAGTCCTGCAGCTGATGCTCACTAAGGGTAGACCTAGAGAAGGCAGCTATAGCAAAGAAACAGAATTTCTCTTGCTCTTGTAGTTATGACCTGGATCAAAGCTGCTGTAACTGGTGCCTGGGTGCAGCTGGATTATAGCACGGTGAAGCTGGTGACTGACAGGGTGCTGGAAGGCAGTAGAAACACCTGGTAGTCTTAGGCTATGTCTACACTACCACTTATATCGCACATGGGTGTGAATATTCCACCCACTGGGCAACACAAGTTACACTGACCTAAGCACTAGTGTGTCTCCCACCAAAATAGCTTCTGCTGCTTGCGGAGGTGGTTTTATTAAGCCAACAGGAGAACTCTCTCCCGTGAGCACTGAGTATTCACCAGACGTGCTGGTTTGGCCCTAAACCCAAACTTTAGCCTAAACCTAATGTGGATCCACCACCATCTTGGTGGTTCTCTCTCAAATGGCTCTCTAGCTATGTCATTTAAATACTCCAAGGATGCAATTCTCATGGTGTTTTGCCTGACGAATGGACAGACAGGAGTATTGCAGTGCTGTTTTGGATCTGGTCCAGCTTTGCTGAATTATGCAAGATGGGAAGCGGGGAGGAAAGGATATTCTGAGTTTAATCAGTACTGTTGTTCATATCTAACTCCTACACAAATTCCCAAGATAATGGTCAGCAGTGCAGCTTGCTCCCCCTAGGAAAATCATATGCAAAGAAATAGAGCCTGCTTCCACTTGTTCTGAAGTCTGAGAGTTTTGCCATTGAATTTAATGAGGGCAGGATCGTGCTCCTAGTCTCTCCTCAAAATCCAAGAAAGGTTCAAATGTCCCAGTAACAGGGGATTCACCCACACACCATCCCACCCACTTACTTGCTGTATTTGTCGTCATATTTGCAGATATAGCTAAGATGAGCAGCAAAAGCTTCTACTGCCAACGGGCATGGGATCTCGCCACTTTTTCTCTTAATTATAACTCCTGCATCAATTAAAAAAAAACAAAACACAGCCATTGAGTCTTAACTGTTGTGTTAGCATCAGTGTTACCCCCTATAATAGACTGTCTGAAAAGGGGATTTGAGACCAGCTACTTAGTCTGCCAGCACTAGCAAGAACCTTCTATGCCGAAAATAAACCTTGTTGATCCTGAATTTGCTTTCCTTCTCCCACCCCTCTTCTCAGTCCAACTGGCACCTGGAAGATGGTATCATATACCTTGCTAGTAGTGTGCAGGCCAAAGCAGCTGTGTGGAAGATGCAAGAGAGGTTGTTTTTTAAAAAAAAAAATGGTCAAAACACAAACTTGAACTCTTTCCAGAGCTCCAACTATGGGCCCTTCATGGTGGGGCACCTGTTGGTCAGATTTCATGTGGTGGTGATTGCTTCTTGATGCACCATTATCTTGTTGACATGCTAAATCCGAACTTGCAAAAGTTCAGCTTTGATTCACTGGGACAGAATGCTGTGGGTTTGGATTCTGGTGTGTACTGTTTGTCTAGCCCTTCTTCATGGACTGTGACGCTAGCAGGTACTGAAGAGCAATGGTTACCATGGGATGTGATGATCACCTCTGTTGCAGTTGTAAGCCTTAAAGTAGTGGGGTCTACAGGGAGCACTGCAAGCCAAGCAGCTGGTGCCAGACACAGCTGCAAACTGTCTTAGGCTGGTGTTATATGCTGCAGACACCACCTGCTCACCATGATTCATCCTTAGGGTGAGACACTTCCCCTCTTCCCAGCTGTACTGCCTCCACACTGTCTTTGCTACTGCATTTGTATCCAGATCTCTCTCACTCCTGCAAGGAAACTGATGAGACCAGTGGTCTGGAGAAGGGAAAGGTTCATGAAGCATGGTTAGAAGTCCAGTCCAGGCCTGCCTGGTGTGATGGGGTGAAGAGTCAGAGAAGCATTTGTAATTAATTTCCAGATGTCTTGTATGAAGTTTCTGCCGGAGGCACTTGTCTGTGCTCTGTTACCACCCCGTGCCCAAGGAAATGGGACTTGTGTTCATTTTGTAAATAAACCATACTAAAAAAATCCTGGACTCCACGTCACTGAGTTCTGCTTCAAGCAGGGACACTGACACACCTGTTGCTGCTCAGCAAAGGGGCAATACAATTTGCCAGGCAGCAGTAGGTTTGGGGGCCTCAAAGGTCATTTTCCTGTTTGGAGCAGAAATCTGACACAGAGTCTGGTATTTTCTCCATATACATTTAGGGTGGGATCCACAGAGGGACTAGGGTGTTGCAATCCTCAGCATCATGGCACCTAGAAAAAAAATCACAGGAACACCACCATGCTCCACAAAGCTGAGGTAGGCGCTTTATTTCTCCCCATTCATTACGCAGGGAGCCTAGGCACCTAAGAATGTGATCCACAAAAGCCAGCATGCTAGGTGGGGTGCAGCCTAAGTTAGCTAATGGGAGATAACAACAAGGGCTGGGTGCGAATCCCCACCCCTCTCTTGGAGATAGGGGCCTGTATATGGACTGCAAGGAGCTGCCTAACTCTGCTTCGGGATCCATGAACGGTAACCAGCCACCTCAAGTCAGGCGGCTTAGGCACCTAACTAATTTCTTGTGAGAATGAGGTAGGCGCCTGCCTCACTCTACACACAACACCCAGTGGTGGTAATGCAACCACCTACCCCGTAATCTTTAGCCCAGTGGTTAGAGCAGAGATGTGAGGAAAACCCAGGTTCAATTCCCCACTCCCTGCCAGAGGAGGAGAGAGGATTTGAACAGGGGTTTCCTGCCTCTCAGGAGCATTTGTTAACTACTGGCCTATTTGAACACGGGGCTCCCCCAATCTCAACCTGTTAAGGCTGTTTCACTGTGACTAAAGAATGATTAGAGCGAGGGAACGGGGCCTGGGGTCTTCTGCCTCCCAGGTGGATGCCTTAACCACTAGACTACACAACCATTCCCCCTCTTGTGTTCTCTCTGGCCCAATGTTCGTTCCACTCTGGATAAATACTTAAATAGTCATGGGGCCAGAGAGTGAGAGCCTGGGTGTGAGTGAGGGAATGGCTCTGTAGCCCTTTGCTTAGGGTACCCACCGGGGAGGTGGGGCTTCAAAGCCTGAGCCGTAACTTCCAAGCACTATCTACACAGCTATTACTACAGTGCTATTGTGAGCTTCACTAGTACGGTCACTCTGGGCTGGGAGGCTCACTGCTGTGGGCTGCGTAGATATAACCCCAGCGACTCCAGGGACTAATGTCATCAGGCAGCTTTTTTCAGTTTTCACTCAGGCCGGACTAGCCCCAATGTTGACTGGCTGTTTGTTCCATCTCCCTCCCTCCCAGTCATGTCACCCTCACACCACCTTGCCTCCATGCTCCCCTTCTTCCTGCCTTCTCCCTGTCTTTGTCTTTCTGTTTAAATGTATCCCCTCCTAACTAAAACCCTCCCGAGGACCCACTTTTAAATCAAGATAGGATGTTTTGCTAAAAGCTCTGCTCTAGGAATGATTGTGGGGAAGTTCTCTGGCCTGTGCTATACAGGAAGTCAGACTGGATGATCACAATGCTCCCTTCTGGCCTTGGAATCTATGAATCACTCCTTGGGGGGAAAACTGTGGCACTAACATGCTGTTTGCAAACCATCATTCTATTCTCTCTGCTGCTGTTTTCTATTCTTTTCCCTTAGGCTTTGTCTGTCTGGTGTATTGAAACTGTAAACTCTTCGAAGCAGGGACTGTCTCTCTCACTCTGTACGGTGCCTAGCACAATGGAACCCTGTTCTTCACTGTGTCCTAGGCACTATCCTAATTCCTCCTGGAAGGCAGTTCTGCTTGGCTGAAGTTACTGAGACACATAGGATTAAGGTGCCTTGTGTTTGGTCCCACTTTTAGTCACTGTCTCATTTTGGATGAGATCCCAGAATCCTCCTGGCTCTCTGGTCTTTCCTGAATCTTCTAAACCATTACATTACTTCATAAGACATCCAGACCAAAATTGTTACTCATGTTTTGATTACAGGCTTGAGAATTAAATTCCTTTGGCTAGAAGTCCAATTCCCTCCATTATCTTTGACAAGTCCCTTATGACACCCTACTTGGCAGGCCCTGTTTTGAATGTAAGACTCACAGCACATACTAGGTGTCATATTTATGACTGATCCATATGACTATTTATTTGAAGTCTTTGAGTGACAGATTTTAATGAGTCCCAAATGTTGTTAGAGCAGAGTATGAGGCATAATAAGTGTAAATATAACATGGGGGACAAGGGGGGAAAAATCCTTAAAGCTGACAAAACCAATATTTCTTATTGCCCTAACATACCCAGTAAGGGTATTTTAATTTTCTTTGATGGAATAGTCCTTAAAGATCTGACTGACTGTGTGAAGAGAAGATTGTCTTTCCCCTAGTAGGTCTGGACAGTATAAGATCTGTTTAGTGCAGGTGTTTTTGGTGAAACTTTTTTGGATTTTAGAATTTCCTTTGATTTGCCTTCCACCATTCACTTCCAGTAAAAATGTGTGATTACAGCTACATGGGCACCATGTACTCAATCTTATTTTCCATTATAGACTGTTTAAGTGTTTCTATTTCTGGAATGTGAATAGGTTTATCTTCTAGCACAGAGGTGGGCAAACGTTTTAGGCTGAGGGCCACATCTCGGTGGGGAAATTGTATGCAGGGCCGGGGCAGGGGGTTGGGATGTGGGAGGGGTGCGGTGTACAGGAATGGGCTCAGGGCAAGAGATTGGGGCAGAGAAGGGGTGCGGGTTGTATGAGGGGACTCAGGGAAGGGGGTTGGGGTGCAGGAGGGGTGCGAGGTGTAGCAGGGGGCTCAGGGTAGGGAGTTGGGGGGAGGGGTGCAGGCAGGGGGCTCAGGGCAGGGAGTTGGGGGGAGGGGTGCAGGAGGGATTCGGGCTCCGGCCCGGCACCGCTTACCTAAAGTGGCTCCAGGGTGGCAGCCTGCCCTGGCCCCATGCCACGCCGCTCTGGGAAGCAGCTGGCACCACGTCCCTGCGTGGCCCCTGGGTGCGGGGAGCACAGGGCTCTGTGCGCTGCCCTTGCTGCACCGCAAGGTACCTCCCCTGAAGTGCCTATTGGCCACGGTTCCCCGTTTCCGTCCAATGGGAGCTGCGGGCGGGGGGCGGTGCCTGGATGCAAGGACAATGCACGTAGCCCTCTGCCCCCCCGCGCCACGGTGCCAGCCGCTTCTGGGAGCGGCACCACAGGGGACAATCCCACGGGCTGGATCCAAAGTCCTGAGGGGCTGGATCCGGCCCACAGGCCGTAATTTGCCCACCCCCTGTTCTAGCACTTCACAAGCTTGGTTCAAGCCATTGGTAGGAGGGGGCCTAGCAAAGTTCCCCAGAAGGAAGCTGGGGTGGCACAAATTGCTCAAAACTTTGGCACTGCCTTGGAAATCCCTCTGGTCAACAATGCTCCAGTAGATAGCCCTGGCTGGGAGGTGGCATGGCCAGGATACATGATGATGTGCTCAGTCAGCAGACCCTCATAAGGTGTCTTTGCTAACAGGGCTCCTATGTAGCCCTTCCCCTGGTGGAGCTCCCAGGGAAGTACTGTGTTGCAAACCCTGCTTGATCTTTCCTGGGTTGTGGAGAGAGGTGGGCAGTGCTGCTAACTCTTGTGATTTTTTTTTTTTTTTGAAATCACAACTCTTATGATAGTGTATGTGGTGGTTTTCCCTTAATGCTCCAGCTCCTGGCATCATGTGATTGTGAGAATCTCAGCTTTTATTGGAAGGGGAGGGGGGAAAGTGAGCCACGGTTACAGAGAAGCTTGAAAATGTGACCCAAGCGCATGCTAAAGCTTCAGCCACCAGAAGGCAAATAAAACCACCCAAAATGTTGGGTTTTTTTGTTTTTAAACTATGACTTTAAGCCAATCCCTGACTCGTGATTTTTGAACAGTAGGGTTGGTAATCCTAGGAGCAGCTTTCATCTTCTGGGGCTGCTGTTGGGGTGCGTGCACCAAGAGGGGTGAACAGAGCACTGCAGGTTCGAAGTTCTGTACGGATATCATCTAATAAATCCTCAAAGTCCCATGATGTAAGGCAATGCGTAGACCTGAATTTCCATAGTTTTAAAAGGTCTGAAGTATAATTCTACTGCAACGCCTTCCCCCATCAGTGAATTCTCGTGAAGGGCATTTGGAAGTTTAGGGCCAAAATCCTCAACTAGTGTAAACTGCTGAAGTCATTCAGTTTGTTTTATAATAAATTATTCTGCTTCCCTCCAGACTTTCAGGTTCTGGCCTTTTTATGAGCTAAACATTTCAGAGAACTAATTCAACGTAAGTAGCGAGGGCTGCTCCTCCGCACAGCACCCTCTGGGCCCAGAGCTGAGCAGGGAAGAGCCTACTTTGGGGGCACTAGTACCCATGCAGTGACTTTTTCCTCCTCTGTCCACTCCCATTTGTGTGGCATTTGGGAAAGGAGGGAAGACACTGCAAGAGGGAGCCAGCCAAAGACTCACGCCAACAGGAGAAGCTGTTAGAAGGAGCCGCACAGTGAGTGCTGGGCTACTTCCACAGTTTTGACGCTGGTCGTTCTCTGCCCTGCACTGATTGGCTGTTTGCCCCAACCTCTCCTGCCCCCTCCTATGGTCTGGTCACCTCAGCCTCACTCCATCTGCCTTCCACGTTCCTCAATTTCATCTCCCCTGCCCCTTCCCCCTCTCTTCAATGACTCCTCTCTTTATCTATCTGTTTAGTTAACCCCCCAAATACCTAAAAACCACCCAAAGTTACACCCATAATCACCACCTCTCCCCCCACACAAATTGTGGCACTAACATGTCATTTGCACCCCATCACTCTGTTCCCTCTGTTTTGTGTTCTATCCCTTTCCCCCGCTGTTTGTCTGTCTGGTCTATTTAGGTTGTATGCTCTCCAGAGCTGGGACTGTTTAGTACATAGGCATGACCATAATACAGACAGTAAATTTTTAAACTTCTCCCCTTAAACTACTTGTTTAAGAAAACAGAATTTTGTTTTGTTTCTTAATGTGGAGACAACACTTAATGTCTGATAGCAGAATACGCAAGTTACTTATTTGTGCAGTACTGTAAATGAAAGGCTTTCAGTCTTTAGCATTCATGAGGATGATTTCTGACAAACTGGTTCAAAACTTTCATAATTCACACGCTACATCTAAAAATGGGATTCATAGATTGGTTTTGATGAGCATTTCTCTGCAATGCCTCTCCACAGACTTGAGTGGAGTTTGTAGTCAGGACCCAGGTGAGATTCCCTTTCTCTGTTTTTATTTTATGTAAAGTAAGTAACTAGGTCATTACTTGTTGCCTCCACCTTTGCTGAAATCCTCATCCATGTCTCAACTCGCTCTTGTCCTCACTATAGCAACTTCCTTCTCATGTCCCCCTGGGTGTAGTAAGCTGCTGCCTACTTTTACAGGCAAAAAGCTGTGATACCATGGCTCCATTCTCAGACTGTTCCACTGGCCCCCATTCACCTCATGCTTCAGTTCAAAGCTGCCTTCCATTTACTTATTCCAGTCTACATCACTGACTTGTCTCTCCCTTCTTCCTTCCCCACTCAATCCACGTGCTCACCAATGGCTTTGCTACAGTCTTGGCACACTTTGTGTGAAAGACTTCTCTTCTGTGCTCCTGACATTGGGAAGAGACTTCTTGGGCCACATCCTTAGTGGCATAAACTGGCATTGCTCCGTTCACTTCAACTGAGAGATGCCAATTTACACCACCTGACAATCTGACCCTCTACCAGTCTCACTAAGTCTCTCTCCTTTTTCAAATCCCAACTGAAGTCTTTATCTTTTCTCTCTAGTCTATATCTCACATTTTTTTCTCACATTTTCTCTCAATCCGCTACAATTCGTTTAATGTTCTTTATTAAGAACCCCTGTGAAGCATTTTGGTGAATATGTACTTCAAAGGTCTTGCATACCATACAGGCTAAACTTTGTAAACCATGATCATGTTCTGTAAATGTAATTACATGAGTTTATACTGGCTGAGGTTCTGGCCTCATCTATGTACCAGTGTGAGACTTTACAATGAGATGGGTCCTAAACATGTGCAGATTTTCACACCCATGCATAAAATTTGTTGCCTGTGTCTGCTCTGCTTCTGCTAAAGGGACATTCAACCAGTTTATTTGTAAAGGTGGTGGTGACTGTTAAGCTTTATAAATAGATTTTTCTTTTCTTAAACTTGTTTTTAGTAACTGTAGCCGAAGACAGCAGCTTTGTGCTAGTGCATGAGAACCAGGTGATGCTCATTGACTTGACTTTGGTTTAATTACTCCAGTTGCATAGTCCAAATATGCAAAAAGCAAAGATAATGATGATCATAAATTACCTTGTTGAACTTAATTCAACTTAAATGTAAGGTCTTGTTAGAAAGGCTCTAATTCTGTACTGAGGGTGTCTTGGAGTCTGAGTCTGTAAATATACAGGTTTCAGAGGAACAGCCGTGTTAGTCTGTATTCGCAAAAAGAAAAGGAGGACTTGTGGCACCTTAGAGACTAACCAATTTATTTGAGCATGAGCTTTCGTGAGCTACAGCTCACTTCATCAGTAAATATACAGTAACTTTATTTAATTCCATGGGTTTCAATCGAACTACTCATGTGTAACTTCTTTCTCATGTGTGTTTTTAGAATCAGGCCCTAAGACACCAACCCTTTCAAGTTATCTGCTTCTCTTTTTAGTTAAATAAATGTTCTCTTGTGACATATAATAGCATTCAAAGTAGTTACCAGTTCCCTAGCTCATTGTATAAAGGTTAGGATGTGTGGTGAGTTCTGATAAATGAACCCCCAATTCCTGTGAGATTTAGCCTTATGATGTGGCTATGCAACACTTAACTACTGTGACTGGCACCTGAATACCCTAAATTCTGTGCAAGTTTTTGAGAATGTGGGTTAAGCACCAAGTTACCTTTTGTAAGCAGTAGCACCTTAAATTTGTAAATATTTAACATTCTTTCAACTATAATTTTGCTTTTTGTATTTTACTCACTTTGGGCAATAGAACTACAGGAGACTTTAAATGGACGAACTACTCTTTAAAAATGTCCTTTCATGTTGGATTTTGTAAATATTTTTTCAAAACCTATACTATGCCTAAAGATCTTTGAGTCCCTTAAAAAACCCCTCCCCTATTAAGATCAATTTCAGCTGAGTCTTTAAGAAACTACTCACAAGCTAAACTACTCCCAAATATATCTTTGGCTGTTCTGGTTTTCTTTTTAGCAGCTGCACCATCAGTTGAGTATGCAATGGGAAGACTCTTGACAAAAGCCATTTGTATGTGACAAACGGCTTTTAAATCCATAGGAAAAACTAACTGTAGAATCTGGTCAAAGAGTTTTAATACTTGGTATGGTTCTTATTGGTCCAAAATTTTTTATGCATTTAGGAGTTACTCTTTACAAAGACTTATCATGCAATTATCCCACGAGACACCTTGTTACATATAGTATTTTAACCTCTGTTACAACTCTCTACACCAGCACAGGTCAGCTGGGATATGTATAACACCAAAAAGGAACAGCTCTCTACTGTGCCAGCTAAAGGAATAACTATTGGCTGGTAGCATTAGTAAGCTTTTTTAACCTTTATGCAGAGAAGACATCAGTTGCAGACAGAACACTTTTAGCCAGGGTTAACGTAGATTAACTAGTACTTTACGGACAAGAGCAAACACAATGGAAATAAACTGTAGCATTAATGATCATCTAGGATAATTATCAAGCTTCTTGTCTGGCGTTATCAAACTTACTAAGTGTCGTATCTTGCCTTGTCACCTATTTTGAAAAACTTGGTCACAGTACTTGTAGTGATACTGCTGACTGCTCACCTTGTTGAACTGGAGAATAGGCATTAGTGAGAAAACGAAAATGCCCTTTGTTGTACCAGCAGATCAGGGACATGTTTCCCTTCATCTTTATTCTGTACTGCCCTCTGGACTGAGGAGCATCTGGGTTATGCAGCATTGATGGAGGTAGGCCTGTGCAGTCACTTTTCCTGGAACTCAGCAACCCGCAGCAATAAATTTCTGCACATGAAAGAGAATAAATTCTCATCAGCACACAATCCTATAGGTTTAGACAGAAATGACAGTGGGGCTGTCTGACCTATTTGACTGGAGGAAGAACTGGTCCTAAAACTAAGCCAGTAGATACATAGGCTGGCCAATGGCCGAGGATTTCCCTGTGATATCCAGGACCACTCTTTCTTTTCAGGCTCCAGGAAGAAATGCATTCATACACAAGTCCAGAGAGCCAGTTCTCCAGGTGATTAATATGATACACAGGGATTTAATTAAAACGAAACTAAAAGGGAGAATATAGACTGAGTAGCTGAACTTCCTAACAGTGAGATCTATTCGGTTGTGAAATCTCCTCCCAGGGAGGAGGTCACATTGCTTGGGGCATTCAGCATTAGACCGGACAAAGTAATGGAAGACGTGCTCTCTTCCATGTTTAACGATGCTGACAAATTGGAAAAAAGGCTTTGGCCTCCTTAAGTTGTCCGAAATGACCCCCATGGTGCCTTTAATCCTAGTGGCTGACAGCTTTTGGTACTAGCAGATGACAATTTCCTAGCAGTACAATCTTGTCAACGCTCATCAATTCTACCCTCCTTCAACCATGACAAAGGGACTAATGAGTAAATTCATATGTTGTGAAACCCAGACACACGTCTCACTCTAGCAATCAATGCAGCTACGTGAGAATAACCAAATAATTTAATGCGCATTAATAACAACAGTGCCTGACTTGTGTTGAGTATGTGATAAGAAAAATATCAGAGGGTTAAATCTTCCATTCATCTGATTAATGTAAAGAGCATATAGTAATAGAATTTCTTGCTATCAGAAGAGAAACTCTGCACAGGAAATTTAGTCAAAGAAATCCCCAAATCAAACAGCTGATTAACTGGATTAAAGGATCAAATCTAGCTTTGGTCAAGAGTCAAATCTTTCAGTATTGAGATACTCTATAATCTGAAGCAATGTCCTCTTCCTGATGTGAGCTTTACAAAATCCAGGAAATCTTAAATCCAAATCTCCTCACTGTCTCTCTAGGCTTTGTTTTGACTATATGGAGGGAATCGGAGTACACAAATCTGTGTGTATATTATACTTAGACTGATCCACTTAGGTTTGTGTATTCCACTTAAACTACAGCAGCCCAAAGCTGCTATTTCAGGTAAAACAAACTAGGTCTGTCAACTGAGAACACTGACCTAAATTTTAGAGTCTAATATCTACTTATTGAACTATCGTCCTTCAGCAAATAAAGAATATTAAAAATCAGATCACTTGATCAAGGGGAATAGAGGCTGTTACATACTATGCATGCATCCGATGAAGTGAGCTGTAGCTCACAAAAGCTTATGCTCAAATAAAGTGGTTAGTCTCTAAGGTGCCACAAGTACTCCTTTTCTTTTTGCGGATACAGACTACTCTGCTGTACTCTGAAACCTGTCTTCTGCCTTTGTTCTGGTATTCTGTACGCTCTTTGGAGCAGTGGCAGTCTTTCATGGGGGGAGGGGGTTCTGTTTGTATAGCACCTAGTGTGGTGGGGTCCTGGTCCTTCACTAGGGCTCGTAGGTGCTATGGTAATACAAAATAATCAACAGTGCTCATGAATTGATTGAAAGAGCAGCAAACAATTGGCAACTGGTTCTTGAGATTTCCCAAACAGTGCTTTATAAAACCAGAAAAACACAGGCTGGGAGACCACAGAAATATAATTTTTTAAAAAAATTACAGCTGTATTACATTTTTACATAAAAATATAATTGTTCCTGTTGCCCCAATAGTAAGAATGGAGCCGTGGCTCTTCGATTAGAAGACATGAGCTTTTTAAATGTCAGAATGGAAAACCAACACATCAACTTAGCTATCTGATTTTTGGGGAGGAGCTGTCTAACGGATCCTATGTGGTCTGCCAGTTCTGATCTCTCAACCACTGGACTTTCAAATAATAGAAATGGCTGGAAGGGATTTGAAGAGAGAGATCTCTGCACTGAGGTGGGACAAGGGTACATATGATATACATAAAATATATGCTAAAAATCCTCTTGCTACCACCATCTCTGAAACTTTCTTTAACAAGTCTGTGACCACCTAGGATTTTAGTTGTCACTATGTGCCATTGAGAGTGTCACTGCAGCAGCAGGATTAGAACGCTGATCCTCCTGCTCCAAAAGCACAATCCCTTAACCGAGAGAAGAATTTCCTTTAGCTGTTACAATATAGGATCTATTTTCAGAGTAACAGCCGTGTTAGTCTGTATTCGCAAAAAGAAAAGGAGTACTTGTGGCACCTTAGAGACTAACCAATTTATTTGAGCATAAGCTTTCGATTTAGAACAACGCTTCCTCAGCTCTCGTCCCCTAACGCCCCTACTCTACTTGCGCTATATTGATGACATCTTCATCATCTGGACCTATGGAAAAGAAGCCCTTGAGGAATTCCACCATGATTTCAACAATTTCCATCCCACCATCAACCTCAGTCTGGTCCAGTCCACACAAGAGATCCACTTCCTGGACACTACAGTGCTAATAAACGATGGTCACATAAACACCACCCTATACCGGAAACCTACTGACTGCTATTCCTACCTACATGCCTCCAGCTTTCACCCTGACCACACCACACGATCCATTGTCTACAGCCAAGCTCTGCGATACAACCGCATTTGCTCCAACCCCTCAGACAGAGACAGACACCTACAAGATCTCTATCAAGCATTCTTACAACTACAGTACCCACCTGCGGAAGTGAAGAAACAGACTGATAGAGCCAGAAGACTTCCCAGAAGTCACCTACTACAGGACAGGCCCAACAAAGAAAATAACAGAACGCCACTAGCCGTCACCTTCAGCCCCCAACTAAAACCCCTCCAACGCATTATTAAGGATCTACAACCTATCCTGAAGGATGACCCAACACTCTCACAAATCTTGGGAGACAGGCCAGTCCTTGCCTACAGACAGCCCCCCAACCTGAAGCAAATACTCACCAGCAACCACATACCACACAACAGAACCACTAACCCAGGAACCTATCCTTGCAACAAAGCCCGTTGCCAACTGTGCCCACATATCTATTCAGGGGACACCATCACAGGGCCTAATAACACCAGCCACACTATCAGAGGCTGTTTCACATTGCTCGTTCAGAGGCTCGTTCACAGAGCAATGCCCCTCTGCCATGTACATTGGTCAAACTGGACAGTCTCTACGTAAAAGAATAAATGGACACAACTCAGATGTCAAGAATTATAACATTCATAAACCAGTTGGAGAACACATCAATCTCTCTGGTCACGTGATTACAGACATGAAAGTCGCTATTTTACAACAAAAAAACTTCAAATCCAGACTCCAGCGAGAAACTGCTGAATTGGAATTCATTTGCAAATTGGATACAATTAACTTAGGCTTGAATAGAGACTGGGAGTGGCTTAGTCATTATGCAAGGTAGCCTATTTCCCCTTGTTTTTTCCTACCCCCCACCCCCACCCAGACGTTCTTGTTAAACCCTGGATTTGTGCTGGAAATGGCCCACCTTGATTATCATACACAATGTAAGGAGAGTGGTCACTTTGGATAACCTATTACCAGCAGGAGAGTGGGGTGGGAGGAGGTATTTTTTCATGCTTTGTGTGTATATAATAAGATCTTCTAAACTTTCCACAGTATGCATCCGATGAAGTGAGCTGTAGCTCATGAAAGCTTATGCTCAAATAAATTGGTTAGCCTCTAAGGTGCCACAAGTACTCCTTTTCTTTTTGCGAATATAGGGTCTATGACTCACTGAATGGCCATTTTAATTCTCTTCAGCAGAGGGCAGTAGTACAGAGCCGCTCGAGCAAGTACATTACTGTTCTTAGGATTGCTGAGGTCTGAGGGAGGTAATTAAGTGCAGCCTTTTCTTAAGCTCACGTAAGCTTGCAAAAGACTCAAGCAGCTGTTTTGCTCTTTTCACAAGAGAATGGGAACCATCTTGCACATCTCTCAGGAAAAAATAATGAAGCACCTCCTTACATAACACAAAGTGGTGACAAATATGGTAGCTACAGATTTACTATCACCACTTGCAGAGGATGGCATATGTAATTTGTGAAGGTTTTTAAAAGCTGTAATTAAAACAACCAGTTGCTATGGTAATAGCAGCAATAAAAATTAAGCCCATCTGGCACAATGGTGTGGTCCAAAATTAATTAAATGCTTAACATGTTTTATTAAAGTCCAGAAGAAAATGAAGTTTTACAGAATTCAAAAGAAGTCTGATTGAATGGGCCGTAGTCCTGCTCTCATAAGTAGGGCCCTACCAATTTCACAGCTGTGAAAAAACATGTCACAGATTGTGAAATAAGGCTTTCCCTGTGAAATCTGACCTCCCCCTTGCTGCAAGTCCCTGCCGGGCTGGGGAGGGACAGAACTTGTCCTTCCCCTGCATGGCCGCTCTCGGGAGTAGATCAGACCCACCTCCGAGTGCCTCCCCCTGCTACAGAGCAGCAACTCTGGAGGTTCCTGCTGCTGAAAGTGCCCGAGCCAGGAGCCTCCTAACTGTGAGTCTCCACTGGCCCGGAGGGGGGGATGGGACTTCTCCTTCCCCTGCAGGGCTCCTGTGGGGGAGAAATGGGGCAGATCAGACCCACCACTAGGTACCTTTTGGGTTGGGACTGCCACAGTTACAACGTTGTGAAATTTCAGATGTAAACAGCTGAAAACTTGAAATTGATCAAAATGGACTGTGAGTTTGGTAGGGCCCTACTCATAAGTTAATGGTAACATTCTTTCTTCAGACGGAAATGTAAGAGGGCTTCATCAGGGATGCTGAAACAATTTTTATAGTGGGGGTGCTGAGAGCCATTGAACCCAACTGTAAACCCTCACTATGATGGAAACCACTTCAAACCAGGGGGTGCGGCAACACCCTCAGCACCCCTAGTTCCAGCACGTATGGGCTTCATTCATACAGGGCCCATTCCAACTGTCATTTCTATTTCAAACTAAAAAAGCAGCCCACAAAGTCTGTGCTTAGATGGGGAATCTCAAGCAGCTCAGTGGTTCAGCTCACAAACAGAGGCATCTAAACTTCATGAGTGAGCTTGAATCTCACCAGGGCAGGCTCTCATATAACATTTCTGGTATTTCTACTTCCAGTCACACCTGAAACGCCTCGCAGAATTGCATTTCCTGTGCCATTTCAGTGCCTGGTTCCTTTTCTACTTGGAAACCAGAAAATTATATATCTACCTTTATGACCATGGAGCATAAAATAGACTTACATCAAGTTCCTTTATAGAAACGGTCAGAGAGATGTTCTTATTTTTCAGAAGACGCCCATGGTGGAAACCTAATGAGTTCTCGGGAACTGAGTGTTGCAGACATCCTTTTATATTTCCAGAAACACTTTGTGGTGGTACAATTAAGGTTATTACTAATTTCAGAACAGTAATATTGTAGTTGTGAAACAGAGAGAGGGGAGGTAATTTTATAGTGAAGGCTCCACAAAAGCCTTGACCAAAGATTTCCAAAAGTGAACAGTGGTTTCTTGATTGATTGGTGCCTATACTCTGGATTCCAATGGAAGGGACTCTTAAAGGCCCTGACTTTGAGGACAGGAGACGAGCACTTTCAGAAAAATCAGGCCCTTTTAAGGTGTCAGTTCAGGCACCCAACTACTAAGGTGCCTAATAACTAGTTTTGTTTTGGTTTTTTTTTGTTAAAAAGTCTTGGTTCAAATCTTTCCCCACTGCCCATGTTAAAAAAACAACTATGAAAGCATTGCAAAGATGGATGAATAGAAATTCCTTTGACTCAAATATTTGTGAATTTTTTTTTCTCCACCTCTATTCATTCAGCTCTAGCCCAGGAACTGTAATTTCCCTAGAACAACAAAAGTTAATCCAATATGTTAGGAATGTGTCTTAATTTTGCAAGGTTGCTCTCATCCTCTATAGCAAAGCAGGTTCCTCAGGTTTTCTCATGAGGCTCTCATCCTTATTTGCATTTTATCCTTGTGTGGCTTTAATTCCCCAGCTAGGCATTACTACTGGCTAACAGATCACTGATCAACCTGATGCCACTGTTCGGCCTGAATGCATGAAATTGGCACACACCAGGAGAATTGTTTTCTATGGGGGATGCTAGGCCTTCCACTGGCAAATCTCTGCTCTGCTCCAAATTCACAGCTAATGCTGCGGGATAACAGCAAGTGCTGACTATAGTACATTACCTTTGGCTCTGTGGGTAGGGTCGGAATGCACAATCTCCTCCAGGGCTCTTGATTGACTTCACCACTGTTGTGACATGTCAAAGGTCTGATTTCCCTGAGTGTCCCATAAGCCTTCAAATTCTATATGCCGTGCCAAGCCAGTGAGCTAGCCTTTATCACCCAAAACATAAAAGCCAAATAACCCAATGTCCCTGTTTAACACAGTGCGTTAATGTCCCCACTGCAACTGCTTTGTAAGGAGCACCCAAGCTACTTACCAAAAAGCTAGTAAATCTGCTCTGAGTCTCCCAAAATTAAATTCCCAATTCAATACCCAGGATCATTTCTGCTAGTGAATGGAATGCAGAGGAAGCAGTTGTCATGGATCACAAAATCGCATGGAGCCTCATAACAAAACATGAACCAGGAACTGAAAATGCTGCATAGGGTTTTCATTTTTGATCAGATAATGTACCTAACTTTGAATCTCTAGAAGGCATTTAGTGTGTCCGCTACCTGTTAACAGTTGGTAATCTGAGTTCTCTTCAGTGCAAGGCCCGTGAGTAGTTAACTACTGTAGCTAATCTGAGTTACCTGTGAGAGAGAGATACTGTGGTGGTTCAGTAGCCAGGATTCTTCTCTACTGCGATTCCAGAGACAAAATGGAGAATATTATCCCCTTCTTTCTCTTTCACAAATCTGTCAGCACAAAGGATCATTTTCCAAGTGTCTCAGTTTTAGGTCTAAGGATCTAGTAATCCCTTATTTCAACTGAAATGGCTTAAGTGTTTATCTACAAAGGAAATTCTTCTTGATGCTAGAAATTCAAATCTTGTTTACAAGGGAAGACCCTGGTGACTGGAGAACTAGTGGAAAAAGTTGCATCACTGGAAAAGAATTTAAGCTGACCGGTTCATGGGGGAGTGGATGTTCACTAACTGTTTTAAAATCTTTGGGTTTGATTTTCAGAGTGGGAACATCTACGACTACAACTGCAGTCAATGGGAGCTGTGAATGCTCAGCACATCTGAAATTCAGCTCACTTGTACAACACCTATTTAACACCACGGATTAATGGGCACTTGGGTCTAACTCTAGTCTATACCTATGTCTGTACTGGTACATGGGCAAACCCTTCTAGTGTAGATGCAGCTTGTATGGGCAAAGAGTGCTTTGCTATCAACTGTCTCTACCATAGGGCTTGTACATTAAAAAATAAAATGGCTCCCCAACTGACATTATACTGGCAAAAGTTTCTGGGGTAGACCTTGCCTTAGTTAAAGGCTCAGCACATCCCCCCCCTCACCCACACCCACACCCCTTTCACAAGTAAGAACTCCTACACATATAGAAGACCCCCAAGAAGTCCTCCAGGAAAAAACCCCAGGAATAAACAGAGTCTAAATTCCTAAGGTAAAAGAGAAAAAAAATCAGAGCCCTCTATTCTCCCCCCCCCCACTTTTTTTTTTTAAGTAGCCTTCTTTCTACATGATGAAGACTCAAAGGAAAGCTCAAGATCAGCTTAAATAACCTCTGCAGGTCCCCTTGTAATGAACAGACTAAGTTACCCTCAGGATTTCTCATGGCTACGTGAGGAGATAAAGCCTCAATCAAAAACACTTCTGGGTTATTTGCTGACTTCTGGCAGCAGGATAGTCACAAGCCTGTCAGCATGAGCAGTCAGTGGATCAGCTGTCACAAACCTTGCTTCTCAAACTCTTCAAAAAGGTTCAGGCTGGTAATGCTAGGGCCAGTGAAGATGATGTAGTTTTTTCCTGATGCATTCTGACAAAGGCTCTTGGCCACCATACTGTGGAGTTGGGGCTTGTTCTTCAAAGCATCCAGTCCGTCAGCACCGCCTCCTTCTTTTAGATGGACATAAATCTTAATGAGCAAGTAGAAACAAGAAGACAAGGCAATGTGGTTAGAATGAGTCTGGCAGGAGCAATGCAGTTGCCAAACCCCTTGCTTGGCTTTCACTGGAGAGGAGTTGAAAAATAAAGGCAGTAGATACCTGTTTAAAATGTAACCCTTAATAACCTTTTATGACTGTTTGCCTTTAAATGACTTTGGAATAGCTGGGGCAGGTCTGGAATTTTCTGCTGGGGCGGCTATTGGGAAATACAAATCTATGCCTAAGATTAAGGGCTGCTTGAGGTTGCTGTTGCTATTATGTAGCTGGAAAAGCATTTGTCTGGCAGCAATAAACCATGACTCCTAAAGAAAACTGTATGTTGTGTTGATCCTACATAGACTTCATTGTTGTCAGTAAAGGGAGAACTTGGGACCTTCTGCTCCGAAAACACAGGCCTCTACCAGATGACCAGAAGGAATCTGTCTGCTGGCTTTACTGTAATGGCATTCAGCTGTATATTCTCTGGCAGCAGACACTAATGGGTGACATGACCACGCTGATGCCAGCATGACACTTTCTCCAGTACAAGCCAGTGGTGTCCTTACATACCAACCCTACGTTCTACCTGGAATCTTCAGGGATCACTCTAAGCCCTGGTCTATACTGCGGGGAGGGAGGGGTCGATCTAAGTTACGCAACTTCAGCTACATGAATAACGTAGCTGAAGTCGACGTACTTAGATCTACTTACCATGGTGTCTTCACCACAGTGAGTCGACTGCTGCTGCTCCCCCATCGACTCCGCCTGTGCCTCTTGCAGCAGTGGAGTACAGGAGTTGACGGGAGAGCGCTTGGGGATCACAGAATCATAGAATATCAGGGTTGGAAGGGACCTCAGGAGGTCATCTAGTCCAACCCCCTGCTCAAAGCAGGACCAATCCCCAATTAAATCTAGTCTAGATGCGACAAATCGACCCCTGCTGGATCGATTGCTGCCCGCCGATCCAGGGGGTAGTGTAGACAGACATACCCTAACTCTCAGCATTTTTGTCCAGATCATGACTTAGAGACAACCCATCAAAACAGACTGAACAAGGGAAAAAGGGTGCATTAAACTGGCTTTAACAGTCTTAAGCATCTGGCTCCTTTCTAGCTGGCTACAATCCTTACGGATACTGTATTACTGCCACAGCATCTTAAAGCTAACAGCTACCATTGTCCAGGCAATGTTCCTTCTGTCCTTCATAATACTCGGTCACCATCCACACAAGGCCATTTAAGTGGATATGCAATGGCAGGAATGGTTTGCCTCTAGTTAAATGAGTTGCTGATGACCTTAGTCCGATTTGCAAGTGGACAAGTATGTATAGCACAACTGGCCTGCTTGTTGAGAGGTGGAGGATTGAAATGGCACAGAGGCCAGACCAGTGTCTCACTCTGCAGATGGTCACTCTGGGAATGGTTATGACACGTTAGTTGGGCACTAGGGGAAAACTAACAATGGATGTAAGCTATCAGGCAGCAGCAGAGACAAAAAAAAATTTCAAATACTATACAGTGCCTGTATTGCATCTTAAAGATAGGCACATCTGGGCTGCAGGTCCCCACCCTCACCCCCTACTCCCTCATGGCCCGGGGCAGCCACTTACAGGTAGGAGGCAGTAAACACTGTTTTCCTCTTCCCTGCCCTGGGCTGGGAGGGGGACAAACTTGCAAGCTCAGAGCCGGGGAAAGAAACTTCCTGAACTGCTACTGAAACCTGTCCTGGAGTGTAAGCTGCTGGAGCCCGAGCTCCTGCCTGCATGTTACACTCTGGAGGAGCAGCTCAGTTTTAAAGGGCCACAGCCTGCACCACGTGCCCACTGACACTGCAGTGCCCCAGGGTGCCTCACTCATCACCCTTGCAGCCAGGGAGCTAGAATCGGCTGCCTGTCCCCACCCTTACTCGCCAGGCAGCCCTGCAGAGCTGTGAGCCCTTGCTCTGTGCAGTTCACCCCGAGGAGCACCCCACGGTGTCTTGTTCAGAGTTATGAACAACCTCCATTCCCGAGGTGTCCGTAACTCTGAGGTCTTACAGTAAACAGGGGCCTTTGGTCTTGAAAGCTGTCACACCAGCACTTCCACCACTGCTAAACTTATATGGGCCATTTAGTTAATTCAAAAAAGCATATCCGGCAGAAATCAGTTCCCAGCAGACTCTGCTCAGCAGTGGAAAGCACAGGAAAGACAGACTTTTCAAAGGTGGTGGTGATGAAACCAGGTGTGGCTATATTCAATGGGCTATTCATTTGTATCTGAGGTTGCAGGAAGATATAATTTGCGTTGTAAAAATTCTCAATGGAGTGTGTGGGGGAGAGGCAACATGGACCCCACAGCCAGCAGGGAAAAGGACCTTTAGCTGGGGATATATTTCAGAAGACTATAACGAGAGGGAGTGAACCTCTAGGTTACCTTTCACCCGAGGAGACCTGGAAAACCGGTGCCTTTGACTCTTTGGGGATCCTGGCTAAGAGGTAATCAGCTATTGCTGGAAAGGTACGATTGATGAGGAAGCTACTTTGAACAAAGTCTGTAGCTTGTTAAGTTAGGTCTCAGCCATTAGAAAGTATATTTTTACTATTGTTTGTTTGTAGCCATTTCTATCTTTATCCCTTCTATTTGGTATCACTTAACCTGTGTCCTTTTGTTAATACACTTGTTTTATTTTAAACCAAGTCAGTGCTATGTTTGAAGGAAGGGGTGTGTATACCCTAGTTAAGTTAATAAACTGTAATGTACTGACTCTTTAAAAGAGCAGAAAACTTAATATCTTCTGCAAATGTACAGTGGCAGGGGCTGTGCATTGCAAAGATACATCTCTGAACAGTTCAGAGGCTGAATTTCACAGATTGTTACCTGCTAGGTGAGGTTTGGGCCAGGAAAGCCTTGAGGAGTTTTCTGGGGAGAAAGACAGACTAGTGTGGCAGGGAGCTGACACACACACCGTCTAATCACCAGTAAAGCTCACTCTTGCTGAGGCAGAGAGGTAACATGGCTGTGGGTACCCCAGCAGAATGTTACATCCATGCATTCCCATGGGAAACTACATTATCTTTGTGTGTCAATCTATTTCCAGAAGCAAGTCTAGTCTAAAGCACAGGCACTCTTACAAAGACCGTGGAAGTGATATTTCTCAAGTCTCTGGAAAATTCATTTTACTGTGTGACATTTTTCAGTAGCTATGGATCAGTTGCCATTGCAATTAACCACTGCAGTTTTTCATAGCACAGTCTGCTGCAGAGACTATAGTCCAACAGCCATCTCCATCTTGAGGAGCAGCCACCGGCTGTTAAGTGTCTGTTTCTGCAGCCATTGTACCCCTAGCTGCTGGAAGGGAGAAGGAGCTTTCTCTAGTCTTCCTTCTCCCACCAGAGTCTCCTGAGATTTGTTTGGGAAGTTGGTAGGCTCCACTTCTTTTCCTTTCTCCCAGTCTCTGCTATTTATATCCTCTTCCCTCATGAAAATCTCTGGTGCCTGCTTTAGTAAGCCGAGTAAACCTGGCATGACTCTTCTCCGTGAAACTGCTGCCCATATGGTTGTGAACAGCATCAGTAAAACTAAGAATCACATTACTTTCACTTTGCTGTTGCGCAGGAAAACCATGAGCAGCAGCAGAGACACTGGAACTGGGTGAAGTCTCAGGAAAAAAAGCACTGTCTTGGTTCATGTTTTGAAGGTTATTTTCCCAGCCCTGAGCTAGAAACAATTAAAATTTAAATTCTGCAGAAATTGCCTCCGAAAACTTCCCTCCCACTTGACAGTGGTGAGTGGATTGTTTTTTTAAACTCTAGCTTAATTAACATTTGGAATACACTTTGAGATGCTCAGGTGAAGATGCTATAGAACTGCAAGCAGTGTTGTTAATGACCAAGGCTAATTGAAACTGAGAGAATCTTTTGGGAGGCTATGGAAAAAAGTTGCTGGAGCATTCTCTGAGTAAAAATGCACACAAATGAAACTGCCCAACTTCATGGGCTTTCTTTCTGATCTAAGAACTGAGCTTGAGAATATATTTAATGAGACTCCTTGCATTTGTGCATTCTAACTGCCAGTTATTAGAAAAAATATGACGCAAACAAGGCACTGCTTTAAAAAAAAATCTAACAAACCTCTAAACAGAATTTAAGTTTGATGGAAAACTTTTTTTTTTTTTAGCTGCCTGATCAACAAATGGACAGACAGTTAACTCTCCTGTAACTTGGCCCTTGAAATATAAATTCACCCCATGTTTTTTTTCCCTCCCTCTTTCAAAGTAAAGCTGGTAAATCAATTACAGCTTAATGAGAGAGAAGCTTGTTCTATGAGATTTTTGTGTGATAGTGAAGTGATACAAATTCTTCAGTACACCTTCCCAATTTCCTTTAATACAGATTTTTTAAGGGTACTGGAAATAGTTCCTGTTTTTTAATATTATGAAGAGTTTGAGCCAATTGTATAGACCAGAGGTGGAATCAGAACTGGACAGCAGCATTTAACATAACCTTTTATATTGTAGAAAAATCCCACATACAGCTAATGTGAGATGCTATAAGAATTGAAGAAATATCAAGGCAGGGGAGGCAACAGGATCTAGTGAGTGAGGCACTAGACGCAGGAGGGGTGTGTTCTAGTTGTAACTCTGCTACTGACCTGCTGCATGATTTTAGGCAAGTCACTTCACCTCTGTGCTTGTTTTTTGTTTTGTCTACTTAGATTGTAAGCTCCTCAGGGCAAGAATTGTCTCTTATCCTAACACAGTGGAGCACTCCAATACAAATAATTAATAGTAATAGTAGGTTAGTAATGTAGAAAGGAAACCCATCTGGGTTGAACGACTCTGGGCTAGAGGTAAACAATTTTTTCTCTCTTAATCTTTGACGTTTTCTCAGACTCATTTCTCCCATGATAAGCAGTTAAAAATGGGAGCTCAAACACAGAACCAACACAAGGGACTAAATGACTTATATATATCTAGAATCAGTGAAATTTCAGATGGCCATTAATGAAAATGA